CCCCCCCTTTTTCCCTTTTTTTTTGGGGGCCTTTTTTTTGGGGGGGGTTTTTTTTTTTTTGGGGGGGGGGCCCCCTTTTTAAAAAAAAATTTTTTTGGTTTTTTTTTGGTTTGGAAAAAAAAGGTTTTTTTTTTAAAGGGGCAATTTTTTACCCTCAAAAAATTTTAAAATTTAAATTTTTTTCCGGGGGGGAAATTTTTTTTTTTTTTTCCCCCGGTTTAAAAACCCCCCTTTTTTCCCCTTTTTTGGGGGAAAAAAAAAAAGGGGGGTTCAAAAATTTTTTCCCTCCCCCTTTTTAACCCCTTTTTGGGGTTTTTAAACCCAATTTTTTTTTGGGGGTTTTATTTTTTAAAAAAAGGGGGCCTCCCCCCCTTTGAAAAAGGGGGGGAAAATTTTGGGGGGGGGGAAAAAAAAAAAACCCCAAAAAAAACCTTTAAAATTTTAAAAGGGGGGTTTTTTTTTAATTTAAGGCCCCCCCCTTTTTTCCCCCCCCAAAAAATTTTTTTTTTTCCCCCCCTTTTTGGGGGTTTAAAATTTTTCCCTATTTTAAAATTTTTTTTTTTTGGTGATTTTTGGGGTTTTAAAAAGGGGGGTTTTTTTCCCCCCAAAAAAAATTTTTTTTTTTTTTTTTGGGGGGTTTTTTGGGGGGTTTTCCCCCCCAAAAAAACCCCCCCAAAAAAAAAAGGGGGGGGGGTTTTTTTTTAAAAATTTTTCCCCCCAAAACCCCCCCCCTTTTTCCCCCCCCCCCAAAAAAAAAAGGGGGGGCCCCCGGGGGCCCGGGCCAAAAAGGGGGGGGGCGGAAAAGGGGGGGGGTTTTGGGGGGGGGGGAAAAGCCCAAAAAAAAATTTCCCCCAAAAAAAAGGGGGGGGGGGGGGGGGGGGGGGGGCCCCGGGGGGGGGGGGGGGGGGGGGGGGGGAAATTTTTTAAATTTTTTTTTTAAAAAATTTTTTTTTTTTTCCCCCCCCCCCCAAAGGGGGTTTTTTTTTTAAAAAAATTTTTTTTAAATTTTTTTTCCCCAAAAAAAAATTTCCCCTTTTCCCGGGCCCAAAAGGGGCCCCCTTTTTAAAATTTTTTTTTAAAAAAACCCCCCAAAATTTTTTGGGGAAAAACCCAAAACCTTTGGGGCAAAAAAGGGGGGTTTTTTTTTAAAACCCGGGGTTTTTTTTCCCTTTTTAAAAAAAGGGAAAAAAAAGGGTTTAAAAAAGGATTTTTTTTAAAAAAACCCCCCCCCCCTTTTTTTTGGGTTGGAAAAAACCCCCGGCCCCCCCCCCCCCCCCCCCCCCCCAAAACCCCCCCCCAAAAAAGGGGAAAAAAAAAAACCCCCCCCAAAATTTTTTTCCCCCAAAAAAAACCCCTTCCCCCCCCCCCCTTTTTTCCCCTTTTGCCCGGGGTTTTTTCCCCCCCCGGGGGGAAAAAAAAATTTTTTTTTTTTCCCCCCCCCAAAAAGGAAAAATTTTTTTTTAAAAAAAATTTTTTTGGGGGGAAAAAAAAAAAAATTTTTTTTTAAAAATTTTTTTAAATTTTTCTTTTTTAACCCCTTTTTTTTAAATTTGGGGGTTTGGGGGACCCCCCTTTTTTGGGGCCCCCCCCCCCAAAAAGGGGGGGCCCCCAGGGGCCCCCGGGGGCCCGGGGGTTTTTTTTAAAAAACCCCCCTTTTTTTTTTCCCCAAAAAACCCCAAAGGCCCCCCCCCGGGGGGGGGGAATCCTTTTCCCCCCCTTTTTTTTTTTTTTTTCCCCCCCCGGGGGGGCCAAAAACCCCCCTTTTTAAATTTTTTTAAAAAAAAAAGGGGGTTTTTTTAAAAAAAAAAATTTTTTTGGGGGTTTTTTTTGGTAAAAATTGGTTTTTTTTTAAAAAAAAGGGAAAAAGGGGGAAAAGGGGGGAAAAGGTTTTGGGGGGCCCCGGGGGTTTAAAAGGGGGGGCCCAATTTTTTTTTTCCCCCCCAAAAAGGTTTTTTTTTTTTTTTTCCCCCGGTTTGGGGGGGTTTTTTTTTTAAAAAACCCCAAAAAAAAAAAGGGGTTTGGGGAAAAAATTTTTTTAAAAAAAAAATTTTTTTCCGGGGGGTTTTTTTTTTTAAAAAAAATTTTTAAAAAAAATTTTTGGGGGTTTTAAAAAAAAAAGGGAAAAAAAACCCCCCCTTTTTTTTTTGGGGAAAAAAAAAGGGGGTTTTTTTTGGGTTTTAAAAAAAAAAAAATTTTAAAATTTTTTTTTTTTTTAAAAAGGGGGTTTTTTTTAAAAAAAACCTTTGAAAAAACCCAAAAATTTTTTTTTTTCCCCCCCGGGGGGGGGGAAAAAAAAATTTAAAAAAAAAAACCCTTAAAAATTAAATTTTTTTTAAAAGGGGGGAAAAAATTTTTTTTTTCCCCCCGGGGGGTTTTTTAAAAAATTAAAAAAAAAATTTTTAAAACCTTAAATTTTTAAAAATTTTTTTTCCCACCCAAAAATTTTTTTTTTAAAAAAAAAAAAAAGGGGGGGGTTTTAAAAAAAAAAAAGGGGGGAAAGGGGGAAAAAAAAGGGGGGGGGGGGGAAAAAGGGGGGGGGGGGGGAAAAAAAAGGGGGGAAGGGGGAATTTTTTGGGGGGGGGGGAAAATTCCAAATTTTTTTTTAAAAACCCCCGGGCCCCCCCCCAAAAAACCCCCGGGGTTTTTTTTAAATTTTAAAAAAACCCCCCTTTTTGGTTTTTTTTTGGGGGGCCCCCTTTTTTTTAAAACCCGGGGGGCCGGAAAAAAACCCCCCCCTTTTTTTGGTTTTTTGGGGAAAAAAAAAAAATTTTTTTTCCCCTTTTTTTCCCCCCCCCCCCCCCCCCGGGGGGGGAAATTTTTAAAAATTTTTGGGGTGGGGGTTTTTAAAAACCCCCAAAAAATTAAAGCCCCGGTTGGGGGGGGAAAAATTTTTTTTTGGGGGAAATTTGGGAAATTTTTGGGGGGAAAAAAAAAAACCCGGCCGGCGGTTTTTAAAAGGAGGTGAAAAAAAGGGGGGGCCTGGGGGGAAAGGGGGGGGGGGGGGGGAAAACCCAAATTTTTAAAAGGGGGTTTTTTTGGGGAAAAAAAAAAATTTTTTTTTTGGGGGGGGGGGCCCCCCCCCGCTCCCACCGCCTTTGGAAATTTGGGGGGGTTTTTTTGGGGAAAAAAATTTTAAGGGTTTTTTTTTCCCCAAAAAAAAAAGGGGAACCCTTTGCCCCCCAAAAGGGAAAGGGGGGTTTTTTTCCCCTTTTTGGGGTTTTTTTCCCCCAAAAAAACCCGGGTTTAAAAAGGGGTTTTTTTTTTCCCCCCCGGGGGGGGGGGTTTTTTTAAAGGGAAAAAAAGGTTAAAAAATTTTTTTTTAAAAAAGGGGGAATTTTTTTCAGGGGCCAACACTTTACATGTTGCCTTTAGATTTGTTCAATATACATCTACTGAATAAGGAGTTGCATAGAACAAAATGGAACTATGACTGCTAGGACCATTAAACCTAAATGATAGGACAATAATATGAATCACGATCTGTGGTTGAAATAATTCTACATTTCAGCCTAAAGACATTCTACCGCGAGAGCCAGGAGTGCAGACCGCCATTGAGTTATATGATGGACAAAAAATTACCGTACACCACATTGTTTTCATCTGTCCAGTCTTTTACAATCAGTGCAGGTGAAGAGGACTAGATGACAGATTTTAAGCAATTTAAGTAAGCAAACGCATTTTAATCTTGCTTGGTCTAACTACTATGACGTACTTTACCTTCTATTAAAAGGGCAATCTGTGTTTGGTACATTCATTTTTGGACTTAAGAATCAATGGTTATATGTAATGAATTCAAAAGACTATAATTTATAATTGCACTATCAGCTTAATTCAACTGCCGTACCCCATCAGAACCCAAAATATATGCTTTTTTTACTCCGTTGTTTTTAAATGTGTAAACGTAAACTAGCACTGTATAGCCTCAACCTGGCTAAAACTATCATGTTGATGTTATGAATGGTCTGTCGTTCCTTGCATCCACAGCTCTGTCTATGAATGTAAGGGTAGTTACATTTTTACAGCCCCATCACTCAGCTGTTTACCAAATAAGTGGCGGGGTAGATGGCTTTGTTGTTTGAACTATAGATTGCCAAAGTGACTTTCTGATAAAATAGCCTCCTCCTCTTCCTATCGGTCGTCACTAGTTACCACATCCACAAAGTCATAGACCCCGCCTATTTTTATTATTTATCAATTTAAACCTAACCTTTACCCGAATCTTAACCACACTGCTGACCTTATGCCTAACCTTAAATTAAGACCAAAAAGTTAATTTTAGTTTTCATGAATTTTTACAATATAACCTATTTTGACTTTGTGGCTGTGGTAACTAGTATAACCCCTGGTTTATCATGCTGTTTAGTTTCACTTTCTCTTAGTTTAGCTATTGGAACAGATCACTTCAAACCACAACTGCAATACAGTCAACAGACAATTATCCCATAGCTGCAATACAGGGAACAGAAAAGTATCCCATAGCTGCAATACAGGGAACAGAACATTATCCCATAGCTGCAGGGTAAGTCTACTTTCCTCATTTCCTTTCATTGACAATTCATGTTCAACATGAACACCATAACTATCATTTACAGTTGGGTGGGTGTCATGATAGGTTTTGTGATCATTTAATATTCTATGTCTACAACAGGAATAAAACAGTAGACATGGTTAAGTGGAAACTGGTAGTGTAGATTTTAGTGGAAAATGTTTTTAGACGTGTAATTCTATGAATGTAGAATAGAACAGAGGCAGTAAGTACTTTTACACTAACACATTGCTTTCACTTTCTAATTCCAAGAAATCATGTGTTCCAGTAGAAGGACTGAGGTTGCAAAGTACTCTAGTGCCAGATATTGTGAAAGATTACAGCAAAAAGTTAATGTTTAGAATGTGAAATAGTTTCACGCTGCTGTACCCAGTTTGGACCATAGAGAAAGATAGGTTATCTTAATAGTTTGTATACTGGTTGTAGTTTTATTATCCTGAATGTATCTATCTAGACTAATAAACCATTTCTCTGTTCATTCACTTTCTATAGATCCATGTTGGAACGCAGAGGTAATTTTCAACAGGGCTCTTTTGTATAATTTAAGATTTTGATATTTGGGGTACATTATAAAATAAATGGTTAAACCTAAAACACTCTTATAGATGGCTGAACTATGATCCAAATATTCATTGTTCCAATTAACACCAACATTAATACTTTCATAAATAACCTTTTTGATTTCTCTCTCTTGTCTAAGTGGCACACAAGATGAAATACTTCACAGTTGAGACTGGCAGTACTTTTAGTTCTCATATTCAGTTTATGAGCCAACTCAACACACCAAGATGTTTTACGGAAGTCAAGTCTCCAGTGGAGAGTGATGTCATCATGGCTTTCTGTCCCATCGTCTCCTGTCTTGGGACTGATATTGAAGCAGCACTGCAACAGATTCCAAGTACAGTAACTCATCCCAAATATAACTTCCCAAGCAATGTTATTTCCTTCTGTACCAGATATTCTCTTTCCACACCAGATTTACTCAAAATGTACCAACGACATGAATTACATTACTAAATTGTTTATTTGAGATGCTTATTGGTTTATTTTGACGTATTCCCTCATTCTCTTGACAGCTGGTAAATATGTCATTCTGGTAGTGCTGCATCACACCTTCAGCCCAGACTTCACTGTACCTGACAGCAGCAGACTAGTGACCAGAAGTGATGTAAAACTCACAGTGGACTGTCTGTTCCATGAGAGCCAGGGAGGACTACTGGACTGTCCTCGTAATGATGCAGCAGTCAGGACTATTCTGAAGAGGCTGAACATACAGCCAAAGGTAGCTAACCCTAATTCAAGGTTCAGGGAGGGCCACTCTCTTTAAATAGCTCAAAATGCAAAACCATATAGTTAACCAAAGTATTTTATTACACAGGGTCTGATAGTGTAAGAGAAAATAAATAGTTGTAGTATGAATCAAATATTAGTATTTGTAATGAGTGTTTTCTATAGATTGGAGCTGAAGAATGGATCAGTTTAGACTGTGTTACTGAACTCTGTAGCTGTCACACAGATTGTAATTGGGGTTTTGTATCAATGAATCATCATTGTGAGTACAGCATCTCTCTGTATTTGATGTACTGGATACTTCTTCATCTCTTTTTACAGACCGGACATCCTGGCATTCTAGCTGTGACTCAGAGCATTATAATGGTTTGTCAAATCAATGATAAAACTAGACATCGTCAATCATGTGCCTCTTCGGGGCGACACTTTAAAAGGAAGAAAAATAGAAGTCAAATTTATGGATGGTGTCTGTCATAATCGAGCTGTTAAACAAAAGTCAGTACTGCTGTGGATCTCACAAGTCATTATTCTCTTTGCAGTGGCCAGTGTCTTCAGTCTACAACTACTTTTTCAATCACAGTAGGTTCTATTGTGTTCATTAATGTGGTCAATGTAATACAGTAATCATCACAGGTCATATCACTAACCTTTTCTGTTTCCTAATCTTTTCAAGATCCACGTACCTCTACAAGACCCCGTTATGGCAGTGTTTCTGTGATTCTGAGCTATATAATGGTTTGTCAAATCATTGCAAATGATAAAACTATACATCATCAATCATGTGCCTCTTCGGTGTGACACTTTAAAAATAGAAGTCAAATTTAACGATGGTGTCTGTCATAATCGAGCTGTTAAACAAAAGTCAGTACTGCTGTGGATCTCACAAGTCATTATTCTCTTTGCAGTGGCTAGTGTCTTTAGTCTTCATCTGTGGAGTGCTTTCATATGTGAAGCGGCGCTTCTCGGACAATAATTAGGTTCAAAGTAGGTAGTAGGTTGTCATTCATGTGGTCATTGTAATTAGAGTAATCATCACAGGTCAAATCAGGACCACTAACATCTTGTGTTTCATGTTTCCTAATCTTTTCAAGATCCATGTCCCTCTTCAACACCTCGTTCCAGAAGTGATGAAAGCAGTTCCACTTTTGTACCAACAATGAAGACATGAGAATTGTTTTTAGGGATTACATCTATCATTTCACGGCCTACTAAATAAGAAAATGTATTTACTTTGGATGTGAAGAGAATTTGCGGTTGTAATGTATAGTAATTGGGGCCGATATAAAAAATGTGATTAAAAATAATGGAAAATAATAAAGAAGAAACAGGATCTGTGGAAGGGGACACATCTCAACATCACTGGTAGTTTATACATGCATCCCACTTCTGACACCAGTGTAGCAAACAGTGGGGGTAACCCGGGTTGCTTGACGCAAGGCTAACTTGCTAGCCACAAACTCAACTATTTTGGAGGAGTTTGTAACAGGCATACAAAGGCCTCACTATTTTTGCAGTAGTTCAATGACTGAGCTGAGCTCTAAAGTGAGGGAAAAGGCATTTGAACAAAACATTGCATTCTGGGACGTGTCACCTGGTCGGGTTGTTGAAGTCAAGATGGCTGTAAACACCAAACGGTGGCTAGAGCATGAAATTGGCCTCAAATGAAGTTCCTTATTCAGTGAAATCCTTAAAGGGCACCACTTATCAACCTAATTTTCATTATCTCCAGCACAATACCAGTGTCGACATATGTGAAAACGGCGCATTTGTACGTTTTGTAGGAAAATATCTAACGTTAACTTCTACCTGATGACATTATCAAAGCACATTTATAAACACTGATTTTCAAACACTGAGATTCGCGGTGACGTGGGGAGCAAGAAAATACCCTCCCTTGGGCTAGAAACTCACTGCAGGTTTTGAAAATCAATGTTTTTTTTACTTTTAATCCTACCCTGTGATGTCACAGACAAGCATTTTTTTAGGACCTTATCTTTCTAACCACAGATGATAGAAACACGCTGTTTTCACATATGTAGACACTGGTTTGGTGAAGATGATTAATGTGGCAGAATTTCCCTTTAAATGAAGTTCCTTATTCAATAAGAGTGTTTAGCAGTAACATAATGTTTTGCTGAAATGTTATCCAGCCTGTGGAGGAAGCGTACATTCATACAGATGTCTGATTAACAGGATCACGAACTGAGTGTGGGGATCTATTTTCTTACAACTAGATGTGATGCCTAGCTTAGAAAGAATACATTAATGATTAAACATAATAGGTTTGTGCTGTACTGATATAGATTGTTTAACATAACAAGCTGTGATTAATGTGAGGAACCGTTAGGGCAGGGTTCTTCAATTCCGGTCCTGGAGGGCCGAAACACCTCTGTTTTTCATCCTCTCCTTCTAATCAGGGGCTAATTCAGACCTGGGACACCAGGTGAGTGCAATTAACTACCAGGTAGAAATAAAAAACAGAAGTGTTTCGGCCCTCCAGGACCGGAATTGAAGAACCCTGCGTTAGGGGGTAGGCCGAGACAGACTTGTGACTCACATACACACACACTGCCTCTTTGTTAAACCGCTCAAGGACAAAGTACTGCAACATGAAGAAGAGAACTGTGTCTGGGGTTGCTGACTCGAGACAAGTTGTGAAGATAACAACTAATGCCTGGCAACAGTGAAGCGCCAAGGGGCTGGGACCAGCCTGAGCGCCATCGATAGGCTGGGTAAGTTTAAACCACGCCCAGCCTCTATCCTGACAGGCCCAGTCGGGAGCGGGAACTATCTCTGTCAGAGTATTTAAAGAAGAACTTATAACAAAAGCTCAGTTCTCTGACTGCCCTGCGTGGTTTTTCAGTGGGCCCGTATATACGAACATCATATTTACCAATTCAAGTGTTTGCATTAATTAAAATACTAGTCTATTTTAGAAGACGTGTATTGACCTCTTTTTGTTCCTATACCAGATTTGAATTGACGCAACTTGACATGAGGGATAGTCGTGTCTTACAGGTAACTGCCAAAATAAAGGAAAGGTTTGAGTAAATGAGGGATACAAAGTATATTGAAAGCAGGTGCTTCCACACAGGTGTGGTTCCTGAGTTAATTAAGCAATTAACATCCCATGATGCTTAGGGTCATGCATAGAAATGCCCAGTTGCCCATTATTTTGGCTACCAAGGCTAGAAGAAGAGATTTCAGTGACTTTGAACAGAAAGGATGAGGCGAAGTGAAAGGGTCCACTCCCGTCAAAATCTGTCCATGTGGGAAAACAGAAATTCTGTTTATTAAGCAGACCCCCTACCTTCCCACCTTTGGGACAATGACTCCCATTGTTAGGGCGGAGACAAGAACATCTCTTCATTATATACAGTATCTCTGCTTTGAAAGAAGGGTCTCAAAGGAGCATAGGGGGTTTAAAAGGTATGTGTCTGTCTCGGTCACAAGGCTCAACCCAATTGGACACTTTTGGGAGATTCTGGAGCAGCGCCTGAACAGGGTTTTCCACCACCATCAACAAAACACCAAATGATGGAATTCCTCCAATAGATTTCCAGACACTTGTACAATCTATGCCAAGGCGCATTGAAGCTGTTCTGGCGGCTTATGGTGGCCCAACACCCTATTAAGACACTTTATGTTGGTGTTTCCTTTATTTTGGCAGTTAGCCTATCTGTACTATACCTTATATTAAAGGACCCACCAGAGGGCAATGCCGCCCCTATATCGACATAATTCCTGCCTAAGAGCTGAAATGCATGTTTAGGTTCCCCCTCCGAAGAATGACGGGGAATACTTATAGGCCTACATATTCACGAATTGTGGGTGGGAAGGAATGTCGTGGTGAATTATATGGGGAATGCACAAACTAGAATGCTATTGTAACAGTGTTGCTTCCGTCCCTCTCCTCGCCCCTACCTGGGCTTGAACCAGGGACCCTCTGCACACATCGACAACAGTCATCCTCGAAGCACCGTTACCCGTCGCTCCACAAAAGCCACGGCCCTTGCAGAGCAAGGGAAACAACTACTTCAATGTCTCAGAGGGAGTGACGTCACCGATTGAAATGCTACTAGCGCGCACCGCTAACTAGCTAGCCATTTCACACCGGTTACACTATCTTGCTAACCTTATCTAGCTAGCTAATGTTATCTGTTGTTTTTTGCTACACCATATTCAAAAGTTTACCTGGCTAGGCTATTCTGGAGCTGGATTTGTCAAAAACATTTAGGGAAAGCATTGCCACAGATGGAAACCAATATCTTTGACTTCACATTCTATTGTTATCTCCAAAGATTGGGCATCTTCAATAAGATACTTATTTTTCTCCATTGTAATGGACACAGTGCAACCTTTTGTAGGTAGTCATTGAGCAAAGCCAAGTCATATAAACAGCCATTGAGCCAAGCCAAGTCAAATATACATTAATGTAGCAAAGTCAAGTCATATATACAGTCATTGAGCCAAGCCAAGTCATAAATGGTCATTGAGCAAAGCCAAGTCAAATATACAGTGGGGGAAAAAAGTATTTAGTCAGCCACCAATTGTGCAAGTTCTCCCACTTAAAAAGATGAGAGAGGCCTGTAATTTTCATCATAGGTACACGTCAACTATGACAGACAAATTGAGAATGTATTTTCCAGAAAATCCCATTGTAGGATTTTTAATGAATTTATTTGCAAATTATGGTGGAAAATAAGTATTTGGTCACCTACAAACAAGCAAGATTTCTGGCTCTCACAGACCTGTAACAACTTCTTTAAGAGGCTCCTCTGTCCTCCACTCGTTACCTGTATTAATGGGACCTGTTTGAACTTGTTATCAGTATAAAAGACACCTGTCCACAACCTCAAACAGTCACACTCCAAACTCCACTATGGCCAAGACCAAAGAGCTGTCAAAGGACACCAGAAACAAAATTGTAGACCTGCACCAGGCTGGGAAGACTGAATCTGCAATAGGGAAGGGATATCACCAGCTTGGTTTGAAGAAATCAACTGTGGGAGCAATTATTAGGAAATGGAAGACATACAAGACCACTGATAATCTCCCTCGATCTGGGGCTCCATGCAAGATCTCACCCCGTGGGGTCAAAATGATCACAAGAACGGTGAGCAAAAATCCCAGAACCACACGGGGGGACCTAGTGAATGACCTGCAGAGAGCTGGGACCAAAGTAACAAAGCCTACCATCAGTAACACACTACTCCGCCAGGGACTCAAATCCTGCAGTGCCAGACGTGTCCCCCTGCTTAAGCCAGTACATGTCCAGGCCCGTCTGAAGTTTGCTAGAGTGCATTTGGATGATCCAGAAGAGGATTGGGAGAATGTCATATGGTCAGATGAAACCAAAATAGAACATTTTGGTAAAAACTCAACTAGTCGTGTTTGGAGGACAAAGAATGCTGAGTTGCATCCAAAGAACACCATACCTACTGTGAAGCATGGGGGTGGAAATATCATGCTGTGGGGCTGTTTTTCTGCAAAGGGACCAGGACGACTGATCCGTGTAAAGGAAAGAATGAATGGGGCCATGTATCGTGAGATTTTGAGTGAAAACCTCCTTCCATCAGCAAGGGCATTGAAGATGAAACGTGGCTGGGTCTTTCAGCATGACAATGATCCCAAACACACCGCCCGGGCAACGAAGGAGTGGCTTCGTAAGAAGCATTTCAAGGTCCTGGGGCCTCATGTATCAATCTTGCGTACGCACGAAAACACGGCGTACGCCAGCTTTCACGTTCACGGTCAGATGTACTAACAGTGAAATTAACGTAAGAATGTGCGTTCTTCCATGTAAACTTCAGGCCTGGCGTACGTACATTTTTGTGATGTTTGTCCGTTGGCGACTCATAGAGGCAATAAAGTGAAGTGGCAAACATTACACTACGAACTGTTCTATCGCACCTGCCAGATATTGCTTATAATTTGTAATTGATAAATGATTTGCCATATTATTGTCACACGAGTCTTATTAGAATATTCTATTAATTATGCAATTAAGTAAGAACATATATAAAGGATGTGAAAATTGATACAACCCGTCTAGCAATGGCAGCTTTGGCTTTATTAGAAGACATTTTCAATGGACAAATCCGGAGAGAACGAGTTTTTAGGGACCACGGTGATTTTCTGGCCCACGACGATGACTGGCTCATCAGCCGTTTCACATTTCCAAGGGCTATACTCTTGGAGCTCTGCGCTGAGTTGGGTCCGAATTTGGAAAGAGAGACAGTGAGGAGCCACGCATTACCCGTTCCTTTACAGGTGCTTACTACACTTGGTTTCCTAGCAACCGGTTCTTTCCAAAGAGAACTGGCAGACCGCTCAGGAATAAGCCAGTCGTGTTTGAGCCGTGCAATGCCACCTGTATGGGACGGCATCATCCGCTTGT